GTAGTCTCGCGTAGTCACGTGTAGGTTGTGTTGTCCGCGTAGTCTGCGTAGTCTGTATGTTGCGTATATAGATAACAACATGTAGAGGCAAGTTGCGTAAACGAGAAGAGGTTCGTGCTGCATAGATTCCTCCATAGCCCGGGAGTGCCGCGTAGTCCGCATAGGCAGCACGATGGTAAAAGTGTGTTTGCGTAGTCTGTTCTGCAGTGAAAACAGCCATCTGCGTAGTTTCGCGTAGGCAGTCAATCTTAGTATCAGGACTATAACCTTACAAAACAATCCTCAAGTCATGCCCAACCCTAAATAACGTTCGTGTTCCGAGAGCATACACCTACCTGGTCAGCAAGCCATACTTCCTGTAGGCCTTGGCGGAGCGTGCCGGAAGGGATCCTGATTTGAAGTCTACCCCAAGCGAAACGATGTAGCTGTGCGCTTGCGGTGGCCGCAGCAGTGGTTTGTAGCAGGCCAAGTTTTGTGTATTTTTCGTTCCACAAAGCGCAGATGATCCTGAAAAAGCGAGTTAGTTTTCAGGTAATCGCCAAACCCTGCTAAAACCTCAGTTTCGGGCACATTTTAACGCTCTGAACCAACAAGGCGCTCTAAGCGCGCGTGACCTAGTTTTCTAGTTTGCTCCTCTCCAGGTCGCAACCTGCTGTATCGTCATGCGCTTCACTTGGAACAGGAGCTGAGCAGGACTTTCCTATATTTCATCATGGCGGATGACAGCGGGGAGTTTGGCTTCAGGAACTGCTCCCCGCACGTCTGCGGGAACAGCGACGTTTTACCCAATCTATCTGAGTCTTCCACATCCTTCTTCCAGCGGCTGCTTACCATTGACATGCCAGCTGTTGCGACGCCGCTGTACGGCCTTGACGATACGGAATGCGTGGGTGCTTCTGAGATGCGCGTTTGCACGGCTATACTTGATCACAAGGTGATAGCAATGCATTGGTCTGTACATCCAATACTACTGCCCTACGAAGAGACTTTTGAGCCGATCTCCTTGTTCGCATCCCAGTGTATCGTGAATGAGTTGTTGGATGCATGTTTCCGTGAGTACACGGTACACTACCGCATGTTCCAGCGGCCGAGCTCCGTACAATCATCATTCCCATCAATGCGCCCTCACTACGTCCGGAATTTGGAGCCGTGTCTGCCACAAAGGCTACCAAATGGATCATTCAAAGACAGCTCAGTTGTAGGATGGCTGCGGCCCCAGCTGCGTGAGTGCGCCACCCAACGGCTGGGCAGTTCCTTCCTGCTTCAGTTGGACTGCGAGCCTGGCACATGGGACAAAGACCGGTGCAATTTGCCCAGACAACCCTGGGATTACACCAAACTGACATGCCTACCATGGGCGACGCGTGAGGAATGCAGTCAGGGGAATGCTGTGGGTGGCAGGTACCGTCCTCCGCCACCTGCAGGTGTGCACCATGTGCTGCGGCTGCAGCGTTCCTTTGGAGTGGGTGCTCCAATAGCCCAATTTGCACATGGGGGTGCTGCGTCGTCGGACTTGATAGTATTTCCCAGCACCGACTCTGCGATGAGTTTTCTTTGTGCAGTGGGGTTGCGCAACTTCAGTCAGCTGCTGGACTCACGAACTGGAAGCGGCCAAGCCGGCGCAAGGGAGGCATGGAAGGTCGCGGATGTGCGCATGCAGGAGCTCATGAATTCGCCAAGAAGTGAAGTTGACCCCAATTGTGACGTTTGCGTGGCAATTTTGCTGGGCGCATACGTGGAACCTGAGTTTCTCGCCAAACACTTGAGTGCAGAAGTTGTGGACAAGTCCACACGCCAGGCCTTTTGGAACTGGTGGTGGTGCATTGTAGCGTTCCTTCACCGGTCACAAATTCAACTATTTGCTGCAGGGTCTGTTGCACCTTTTGAGATGCTGGTATCGCTCACCGAGAAGCTTCTACCACCTGAGCACAGGCACCTTGCCTCGGACCAGCAACAGGTTAGCAATCCTTGGGATATGTTGGGATGATGGAAGAGAGAATGGAAACTACTATAACGGGTTATGCTGGGGATGTATAGCGGCTCCTTACTCTCCTGACTCATTTGCAACCCCAAGGCCTGCGGTGGACGTGCTCAGGTCTGCCGAAGCCTTGGCACAGCTCGCCTCAGCGGAGCGACCCTTTGCGGTTGCAGAGCCTTCGTCCCAGTGCCCTCCCCAGCTTGCGGGTATTCAGCATGTTTGATGCGCAAGTGAAGGCTCAACTCTAGACTTCAGAAGAAGCAACGGATGAAGAAGGTAAATGAAAGTTGGGAATGGCAGCGTTGCATTAAGCCTGCATGGCGCACGGGTCATGCAGGTGCCTTGTGGGGCTGGCGGTCCGACACCTTCTGGATGCACTGCAGGACAGGGTGCATGAAGAGAGTGTCAGGGGTAATGCATGATGCCTGCAACAAGGATGCTCGATGGGCCGCAGGCCACGTTTTCGCTGCCCAGCACTACTTGGCACACTGCGACCTCCTGGAACTGGCACACCCCATGACGTCCCATGTTTGGCACCTTTTTGCGGCCGTTGGGCACACTTGCATGGAGAGCTCTTACATCCACCCGCCAGCTGCGCCATACTGCGGCAGCCGTTTCCGACTTGTTAAGAGGTTTCAAGCAAAGCGTGCACATAGACTGGCTCCAAGAATCCAGCGGCCTCATGCTCGGCCGACTACCGAGATCCTCAGCAGCCTGATGTAGCACAAAACGGATGCTGCGCGATCACATGCATAGAGAAAGGCATGATGCAAGCCTATGACCCTCGCACGACGTGCTGCTTGTCTCTCTTCTCCAGCTGCCGTTGGCACACATGCTTTTTGAAGGCCATGCTACTGCTAGCACAGCCAAGCTTAGGATCACCTTGCGGCATGTACCTGTTTGCTAGAATGAGTTGACATGTTCATGTGCCACAATGGACAGCACTCCAAGGCACTGAGGTCGTGAGAGAGAGAAGGTTTCAGATTTAGCTTCCTGGGCAGGCGCAGCAGCAGACTGCAAGCTGCGTTGCGGGAGGGCCGGTCGGGCTTCAGGCTCTCTTGTGCGTCGAGCAGCGGTTTCAGTGATCTCCATGAAAACGGAATTTGAAGCCTGTCTAGCTTTTCCAGTCCTTTTCTGGAAAGCGCGTCGGCGACAGAGTCTAAACAGACGGCACCTGAGTCGTTTCTGCAAACCTGAGTTATCTAGTATTGTCTCATCGTGCAAGTACGTGGCTTTGCCGAGGTGCGGTGCGTGCCTGTTGGACATCGACACAGCCAGTGATGTACTGAGTTTAGCTTGAAAGAGTGCTTGTACAAGTTAGTGTCAGAATTCATGCAAGATTCATCCTCCAGGCAAGGAGGGCGAATTCGTAGCCGTACTGGACGCCTGCAACCCAACGCACTTCTTTCATGTGAGGCGGCCTGCTGCCTGCAACCACCTTGGCATGTTTGCGTGGAGAGTTTTTGATGATGGGCAGGTGCATCTCGACATGGTCAGAACAGGAGAACACGTGCCCGCTGTCATGGCCCCAGTACCATGTATGGAGTACAGAGTGCCCTTGGTAGCAAGTAATTAGGTCTTGGTGTCACCCAGTCCAATTTGTTCATGCCATGTTGCAGTAGGTCTCATGGGGGACCCTTAAAAAGACTTGAAATCCCTTGCAAACAAGCTTCGTCTAGTAAAAAGCGATCTTCCCAGCAGGTGCAAAAGCCGGTTTGCTCGCGTGGGCGTCTATGGTGTCGATGGTGACCTGCGCCGCCATGGCCCCGAAAGCTGTTGGACGAAATCTTCCTGCAATACAGGGGATGGCATTGGGATGGCATGTGTCACGGTTGACATGTGTGGGGCATGCACAGGTGTGCGTGGGTGGCACTTACAGTAAAGATGTGGTTGGAATCTGCTAGCACAAGGTGGCTTGTGCGTCCCAGGTGTCATAGCCGTAGAAGAGAAAGATCAAGATTCAGAAGGCTGCGGTTGCCTCTGTTTGCAAATTTGTTGGCCATTTGCTGCGTGACATTCGAGAGGCGAGGCAAGCGCTGAGTTTGATGATCACATCTGCAGCATCTGTCGCAAGCCTAGCCATTAGAGGGAAAGAAGCTGAAGTACTTACATTTAACACCTGAATCCTCAAGAAAGGCAAACAGCCTGGCAACGATGATGCGCTTCTCCTCTGCGATGGCCGCAACGGTCGCTGCAGGGCTGCCTGACCGCATGGTAATTGCTTGTGATGAGATCTTTTGTGCCCCCGCTTGCAGCCTTCCATACAACTTGCTTGGAGGGAGCTGCCCACTTCCACTGCCTTGGCTTGCCGGGCGCCTACACACTGCTGGCCATGGTTCCCAATTGGGTTTGCCGGAAACCTTGATGTTGGAAGCTTCATCGGCCTAGGCCAGGCGTGCCGGAAGGAGAGTGGCCCGGACCTTGGCTTCCACTTGCCACGTTGTCTCTCATTGACTGGCGGCTGAGGTTCTGCTCTGAGTGCCAGGACAAGTTGGGTAAGTAGAGTCAAGAAGTTGCCCAGATTGAGCTGGGCTTCCCTGATCCAGGTTTTTCCATGCTGGTGGGGGTGGAGTCGAAACATATCCAATACGTCAATACGTTACAAAATCCGCTTCCCAAACTATTGTGCTGGATGGCCAGGCAAGCGTGAATGAATGCCTTACATGTCCAATTTTTTGCTTTTGTCCTGCTTGCAGCCGCACTGCGCCGTTGGCAACGGGCAGGTTTGTTCTGAGCCTGCCGCCCCTACTCTCTTCAAATCACTGCAGTTTATTGAGACTCTTCTGCCTTAAGTCGGCCACCTCCCATTTTCTTAACTTTGACTGAGCTTGCTGAATTTGTCCGCAGGAGTTTCCCGTGGAGCAGTTTGCGCAGGAGGAGTCTGCTAAGGATTCTGCAAAGCAAGCGGCCACGACGGAAGCGACAGAAGCTCCAGAAGCTTTTCAACTGAAGAAGGGCTCAAGCAGTGAAAGCTCAAGCAGCGGGCCTACAAAAACTCCACCGCAGTCGCCTGCAGCATGCACAAGGCCCAGAAGGTCGAAGAGCTCGGAGTCTTGCAGCAGGGCACAGCAGGGCAATGTGGGCATTTCCTTGAAGAAGGCGGCATCGGAAGAAGCTCTTGTAGCGGTTCCCTCACAAGCTGCTGATTCAAAGAGTCCACCAAAGAGCAAGCATGCTGTGCAGTCTTCAGCAGTTCCTAAATGGATCTACAGAAAGGGGCCCTGTTTGTATGTGGATCTATGCGGACGTCGCATGAAAGATTCGGCAGCCGCGACGGTTGCGAAGTTTGTTCGAGGAGTGCTGGGCAAGGTGAGCGCCGCAGCAACTCTGGACCTGTGCTTGATGTTATCGGGGAATCGCCTTAGCCAAAGTGGACTCCAGGCTTTTCTTAACTTGGCTGAGGAAACGGGACATCACGTGTCGTGTCTAGATCTGGAGCGGAATCGACTCGATGCTGACACCCTTGAATGGCTTGGAGAGTGGCTGACCAAGCAGAGGAGGGGCCCACCGCAGAAGCTCCTCCTTTCCCACAACCACCGGATTGGCAGCAAGGCGATCAAAGACCTCCTTCAGCGTCTTGGACGCTCGCAGCGCTTTCAGTCTGGGAGGGAGCTTCCTCTTTGGATTGAGGCAAGGTTCGTGGGTATAGAAGATGTTGACACGCTTCTCGATACTGTGTCGGTGGACATCAACTTTTGCTTAGCATTGGATCGTGAAGCATGTGGTGAAGACCGTTGTGCCTCTCATTCGTCAGCGGAGACAAGTGAGACTCCGCAGTTACATCTTGCTGGTATACTGGAACAGCACTCCAACGATTTCGAGCTCCCAAGAGCCCCAGCCGCCAAGCCAGAGCCTTCCGCCGACAAGACAGTGATGACATCGGCAAGCACGGCAAGCAGCTCGTCAGCAGGTGCGCAAGACAACTTGCGCAGGCCAGGCAGTGATGGAATTCCGCTCAAGCGGAAGAAGCAAGAAACATCCACAGAAACGGTGCCCGGCCAAGACTGGCAATTTGATTCTTCCGAAGCACAAGAGGACCCTGAAGTTGAAAAGGTGGAGCAGGAGCGTGCCGCGCGACGAGCATGGGCGAACTCGCTGGGCAAATCAGTTGTGGCAGAGGTGCCAAGTCAGGATTTGCCTGCGCCTGCACCGAGATGCGGTTTGTGGGACCTTGTCCGCTCTGAACAGCGGAAAAAACAGCGCTTAGCGCGTCCTTGAAACTCCAAGTCGGAAATCGTTGACTCCTGAGACGAAGGGCGGTTGACGACTCAGATGCACGATGGAAGCAGCCACGCAGTACTGCTGTCCTCCATAATCTTCCACAACCCGCTGCAAAGCCAGCTTGAGCCAACGTCCTGCGGTCCGAGTACAACCTGCCGTTGTGTCCACGTTTCGCTTGTAGTCCTTGCGTCGTCAGTCTGTACCTCGAGGTGCTTCACGCGCTGGCAGACTGGCAGACAGAAGTGGTTGTGGTCCATCACAAGTACAGCCTGGCCTCTGAAGAAGAGTGCTGTTCTTTGCAGGCTTGTTTCACAACTTTAAATGGACAGATGTACAGCCATCAAGTGACAGTATGCAGGTACCAGGTTTGTCGTCAGTGAAGAGAGCAGTGCAAGCACCAAGATCAACTTGCTATGCGCCTCTGCGGTCTTTAGACCTGGCTTCTTGTGTCAAGGTTGCTAGATGCTCATGGTGCAGTATGTTGCAAGGCATTCTTGCTTACAGCGTGGTCTCCAGCCATGGGGAAGCGGCAGAAAGAGTGTGAAGCAGAAGAACAAGAAGAGGAGGAGGAGGTAAGTTGCTAATTATGCAAAGATGCTCATGTTCCTGCAGGCAGCTGACTCAACGACTCTGATCACCACCTCCACAGGAGCCCAAGAAGAAGCTCCAGATCGAGCCGCCCGAGTTCGAGGAACCTGCATAAAGTCCCGTTCACGGTTGATGGTGTTTGCCTTTCTCCCCTTCTTGTGACTCAGGATCCAGCTCTCGACAACGATGAAGGGGATCCCACCGAGTTTTCGGTCTCCATCGGTGGGCTGAGCTTTGACACGAAGCGAGCAGCTGTGCGTAAGGCAAGTGAGTTGTCAAGAGATGTATGAGCTGCAAAATCCATAGAGGTGCCGTGTTCCGCGTAGGCCTGCGCCAAGTTCGGCAAGGTGGTCACTGTGCGCCGGTGGGTCCGTGGCGCTCCTCGGCGAGCTGACGTCTCTTTTTCTTCATCTGACGAGATGCAAGCGGCCATCCAGGGCATGGAGGGGAAGGACATTGAGCATCTTATTCATGCCGCTGTCTCGTAGGATTTGACACTTGCCCGTAGATCAGGAGATAGACGGCAAGACCATCAAGATTAAAGCCACTCCCACGGAGGAAGAAGCTACGGTCAAAAAGAAAGGCAAAGGAAAAGGAAAAGGCGGCAAGGGCAAAGGCAAAGGCAAGGGTAAGGGCAAGAGCAAAGGCAAAGGAGGCAAATGAGGAAGCGGTTGTTGGACATGTCTTTCGCGGTGTCGACCGAGCAGAGCACCTGAGGGATCTGAGATGGCCTGGAATCTCTCGGAGATTGTGATGGGAGTGAAGCAGCCACCAGGCCACCAGGCTGTGCAGCCTGGAAGCATGAGCATCTCGCTGCTCCTTACCCAGTTCCTGCAAAGCAGGATGGCATCCACAAGGAAGCTATGACCAAGTAAGCGCTGAGCGCAAAAAAACAACGTTTCAGATGAGTGGGGATGCGTAGACGTGCTCTGTAGAGCCTGAAATGCAGTTTTCGGACTCCCTTGTAACATGTTTTTGCAAAGGACTTCTGACTCTTAAAGTTCTGAAGCCAAAGTGCGGGTCTGTCTGGGATACCCGCATACCCCTTCCTTTTTTGAGTTCAGTTCACGTGCGCTGATGCAGATGGTGGAGAGACCACGGGCACTTTCGATCATGATGCATAGCACGCCTCGCCTGTTGGCCTCGCCATCAAGAAGAATGGTGCACATCAGCTACATGTGTTAAGCCAACGCACCTTACACCTGGCGCAATGCAGCCAGAGAAGTGCAGAAGGGGCCGCCTTGTGAAACCCTCCAAACAAGACCTGGCATTGTTGCGCACATGGGCCATGCACAGGCAATTCGAAAATGCATCACAGTTTCACTATGTTTCACCTGTGCGCGTGTTCTTGCTTTTGCCAGCTCTGGGACGTCGACGAGGAGAGGCTGCTCCGGCATTTCTGCCTCGAGGATGAGTGCCAACAGGCAGGGCTTTTGCCAGCTGCAGACAAGCGTTGACATGCTCAAAGCATGCGCCAAGACAAGGTCCTGGAATGGTTCAAGGAGGAAGGATACTCGCGCCCGGAGGCCGGCAGCAACGTCGCTTCAGATTCAAGCGAGGGTTTGGCTTCAAGCTTTCCATCCAGGATTTTGCAGAGCGTGTGTTGCTCTCAAGACGTCACTTGCTCAGTTTGACATACTACAGTTGCATCAGGGACACTGGTGGTAGGTCTGTTTTTTCTACTTGCGAGGGTAGATGTTTGTACCAGACCCGTTTTGTTGACAGGTCTACGCGAGGCCAGCAACGACCGTATAAAGGAGCCAGACCTCCCTGCTTCCATGTGGGCGTGCTCAGATGCACTCAGCCCTTTTGAATTTTCATGTCACCAGCGCTCTGCCACTTCAGGATGTTCGCGCTGAGCAGCCTTCATTGTTTGGATTTCAGCAAGGCCACGAATGCGTTCCTTAAGCCCAGCAAATGGCCTAAGAATCCTGCAAGGGTCAGTCAGTTCTACAGTCGGAAGAACAGAAGAAGGAGGCCAACGATTTCTGGGCGATAGCTTTGCAAGCTGAGCATCAGGCACTGATTGGGCATAGTGGATTGGTGGCGGTTCAAGTCAGGCATTGGATGCCACTGTGCCAGTCCTCAGCAACCTCAGGCACAGCAGGTTCTTGTACGGATGGTGTCGTACATGTTGGATCCAATCCTGTGCGCCAGCTACATCTTCCTCAAACGCAACGACTCCCACAACTCCGTTCGGGCAGCAACGCTAGGACTGACCTTCTGTGACAGGCCTGCGTCATCTGCCTTGTAGCTAGCCTGCACGTCAAAGCCAGTTTCGAGGCTTTCGCAAGCAGCTCCTCCCATGCGAGCCAAGCTGCTGTTTCGCCGAGGCCCATAGAGAAACAAAACATCTCAGGAGCGGAAAGCTATCCTGATGTGAGGTTTGGGAAGACGCCAGCAGCTCAGCTTGACTGATCATCTTGAACGCCTGGAGTCTCTCTCACATTGAATTGAAAAAGTCCTGGAGGCCAAGCAAAGGACTATGCGGAAGCTTCAGCAGACTTCCTCGGAGCAGCAAAGCCCTTCGGCATAAAACAGATCGTAGAAGTTGGGACTGGAGAGATCTCACTCAGCCCGTCTCAGTCCGAGCAGGATCTTGCCCGACGACCGGGAGATTCGGAATGCTTTGGAGGATTCTAAGGCATACGTAACTGTCAGGGTCAGAGGATTGCTTATCTTCTGGCACAATGTCAGGCAGCTGCCAGAAAGCAAAACAGCGAGTCACACGGCAAGTGCTTGACCCAATGGAAGTTAGATTACGTTCAGAATTTAATCCAGATCCGCTTGATGAGGTGGAGAGGCATGATGACAACAGGCACTAACAAAATGAAGGCCCGTCAGACTTGCTGGGTGCTTGCATGTTCTGATGGATGCTGCATGTGCCGTTGAAGCCGTATCCTTCTGAGGCATCGGTGCGAAGATGCCTCAGAAGGGCGCGATGGCAGAGCCGCGAGGTGTGCACTGTCCTTTCATAAAGTGTCGCTTTCTCCTGAGCTGTCAAGAAAGCAGGTGCTCGCCAACATGGCCGAGCCCTTGCTGGCTGGGCCCTCGCCGTGGAGAGCATGACGTTCCTTGTGTTCTTGCAGAAAGCGGACAGAGAAGTTAACACGCCGTGCCAGTTTGTACTAAGTTCCTGGCAATCATCCTGCTTGCGCCTCTGCGAGGGCCTGAGCCTCTCCTTCTCCAGGCTGATTCTGCTAATCTTTATGTTCTTTGTACGTCTGCTTCACTGTCCTGCAGAGGTGTGCGGGCCTATTCGGGTCTGTTCTGAGATTGCTTAAGCTGAAATGAATGATGATGACGAGGCAAAGCCTCATGTTCATGCTTGTCCTCCCATGCGCTCGATGTTGCCAGAAGCTGCTCCCAGATCTGGAGCCAGCATGGTTGCAGCACGACTTCTTTGACGGACCTGCCATGCAGTGGGACACCGGAAGCTGGTGTTGTCCCAGTGCTCCCCAACAACACATGTGAAGATACCTGGAAATGCCGGCCATGACGTCATCTCCAGCCGGCAGAGCCTGAGCACCCTGTCGCAGATGCAATGTGTGAAGGAGCGCAAGCCACTGGAGAATCATCTAGCGGCCTCCAAAACCTAGATCTGTGCGCTGACATTTGTGCTGATATTCTGGTGGCTTTTGTCCGAGCTGCACCTCCGCAGGCTGTGTTGTGGTGTTTTTTGACTTGCAACATGCCATTAGAAAGATGTTAGTGGCTGCGATCAAACTTAGCAGAGCATGGGTCTCAGATGTAGCGGCCACGGCCGACAGCAGATGCCTGAAGCCGCTGAGCTAAGCTCGAGCTGTGTTGCTAGCACTCGGAAGCAGATGATACTCACACAAACTCCCCAACTCAACTTGCTAGCCAGCTTCTGACTGCCCGTAAGAGCGTAGGCAACAATTCCATCAAAAACAGCAAGCTGATGGTGTGATAGCTTGCCCCTGCCAAACTGTGTCGCCCCAGCATCGCCGAAGGCCAGCCAAGGGCCTTTGCTGCAATCTTTTTGGTTGAGCGGTTGGCGTACAAGATGTGCCAGGTGCGATGGGCCGCGGGAAGCCTCGCAGGGAGCGCCTTTGCAAGCTTCGCATTTTTAAGCAATTCGCTGGGGCTTGGACACTGCAGGAAAAGCCTGAGGCTCCTGTCGGCGGGCCGGAGTGCCACACTTAGACTGCACTGACCCATTTGCGAGTAGCAAGCGCTTCGTTGTGTAGGCATTTGCGGGAGGGGCTGTGCAGGCTAGAAGATTCGGATGTTGAGGAGGCGGACATCGAAGCCCTGGCTAGGCACAGTCTTGTTGCCATAGCCCCAAACCCCAACCCCTAACGCCTAAACCCTAAATCCTAACCCCTAAACTCAATCCTGTGTGGCCTCTTTGAGCAACCGGGCGCAGGTCCAAGCTTGGACCTGGGGAGTTTATCCTCGGCGAGGAGCCAAAGCCGCCCCAGGCCCACCTGCCTTTGCAGCTTTTTTTTCTTCAGTCGTTATTTTTCATCACAGTTGTTCGCGACTCTGGTTACTCCTGTAACTGCTGTCACCATTTCTCCATTCCACTGCTCTTTTCCATTGGTATTATTGTTACTATAATGGTTATTGTTATTGTTCTGACTATTGCATGCAGCCAGTCCGTCCCTTTGTGTTCTGAGCTTTGCGAGGAGGAGTCCGCCGAGGTGCAGGTGCAACGCGGAGGGCGGCTTTGATCTTCTTGTTTCCTTGGACTCTTGATGAGGACACCGCAAAGCGAGGTGTTTGTTTGGCACCGCTACTTCTGAAGCGGCTCGAAGAGATCGAGTACAAGGTGACTCAGTCAGATGTATGTTGAATATCCTTGCCAGATCTTGAAAAGGTGCCCGAAGGAGCCAAGCGCGTCCCTTGGATTGCCGGATTCCTCAGATCGTGTTTTCGCGCGTAAGTATTCCAAAAGCTCTGCTCATGTCACATGTCTAGCGGCCAGTGGCCAGGACACCATGTTGATTGACGGGCAAAGCAACTTGCCCAAGGGTGCCCTGCGCTGAGCTCGTGTAACTTTTTTGTTTCAGGAGAGTGATGTCAGCCGATTTCTTTTGAATTCTGTTCACGCAATGCTTTAGTGTGCCAGCATTCCATGCTTCAACAAATCTTCAAATACGAAGTCTGCACTTGTAACAGGTTTCAGGTAGTGTGAGGAGTGATCAAACTACAAGGTCACCGCTAAAGACGGTGTGAAGCTCGAAAGTGCTTTCCTAGGCCCTTTGTCATGCTTTTACGCTAGTTGGTAGTTAATATGTCCGGTTGTTCATGTGGCAGGCATGGCAGCCGAAGCAGCTGCAGAAGGCTACCGAAGGCGCGTGGATTCTGCTGCCAATCCCGCTTTGCAATTTTCTCTTCTCGAGGTTGCGAGTCATGAAGATCCCATGCACCAGACCAAACGATTTCTATGCTGAGATGATGCGGTCTGCACCTTTGGCAACTCTTGATGTGCAGTTCGCTTCAAGACATCTACGTGCCCAAGCAAACTTGCAGCAGAGGCCGGACAAACAAATGTACCGAGTTCGTCAGCAAGCCGCAGAAGAAGAGCGACGAATTAAGGCTGACAGCAGTGATCAGTGCATTTGGATGAGCTTTTTCCTTCGTGGTGGGACCTGCCCTGCAGATAGTTGAAGATAGAAAGAAGCACCAAGCAAGCAAGAAGTTTGCGAAGAAGGTGGTTCATATTGGCACTCAGTGCTGCTCCAGCATGACATTGATTTGGCACTTGTCTGGCACAGGCTAAAGCCAAAAAGCTTGAGGCACGTGCACAGGCCTTCCTCGCGGGAAGGGTCTTGTTTGTCGACGATTTTGTCTCTTGCCCTGCAGGATGTAAGCAAGGCAAATCAAACTATGAGCAGTGCGATAAACTAACTCGCTTCATGCAAGCAGCTGACTTTGGAAGCATCCCGGCGAAGGAGAAGAGGACTTCCTTGGAACAGATTGCCAACTGGCGTGCCAGAAAGAAAGGAGAAGGGAACAACACGGATGACCAGGAACCTGGTGTAGAAACCGTGAGATGTCAGCTTGAAACCAGCTGTGCAGTCACTTAGAACTGCAACTTACGCAGGACTTGGAGGAGATTCTAAGTCGGCAGGGCAAGAAAAAGGATGAGGATGCGCATCATGGCTGAGCTGATGAAGGTGTCTCGTTCCTGGCTGAGCTTGGAAGTCGCGAGCAGTCCCTTCCAAATGCCAGCTGAGGAAAGGCAAAGGCAAGGGCAAGGCTGACTTGACTGGTTCCAAGCCTGACAACGATTTCATCAGCGGTTCTCCCGTCAGGCCATGAAGTCGGCTAAGCGCCGCAGCCTTGACGAGAAGTATGGCTTTGGCGGAAAGAAGTCCAAACCTCAAGGCAGCTGGGTCAATGCATGCGTACGGCTCTGTGCACCTCAGGAAACGAAGCAAGCAAAACGATAAGAGCTCCACGCACGACGTGTCAGCCTCTCCTTGGGCTCGGAGCTTGGCAGTTTCGGTCTGTGTTCACCTTTTGGTCAGTGCTGGGCCTAGGGAAGAGGCAAGGGCAAGGGCAAGGGTAAAGGAAAGGGCAAGGGCAAAGGCCAGGTATGCTGTGACTTTGGGTGCAGTCCTGTCAAGTCAAACATGGCGTGTAGCATGACAGGCAAGAAGAGGACCGCATGTGCGTTCAACCTTGCGCGTCCTTTCAAAATTCACTGAAGTCACTCGCGTACCCTGTCAGTGGCCACCACACGCACACCCTATTTGCACTTTGTAACAGCCTTCCTTTGCGTGCTGGCTCCGACCCTGCAGGAAGCGGTAAAGCCAACTCTGAAACTGCTGAGTTTCGCCGGTTGAGCTGACTGATGCTGCATGGTAAGGGGTTGCGCTTCTGAATGCCTGCCTTTCAAGTGCTGAGGGTGGGTTGGTCGGTGAGTGCGACGTGTGAAGATTATTCCAGTGCATCAGAACTGCGCCCTTTGCCAGCCAGTCCTCGAGGCGTACTTGGAAAAGGCTGCAGCAGCACACATGTTCACGTAGAAGCTTCTCCAACACATTTGCATGGAAATCACCAACAAAGAACCTTGGTCGAAGTGAACAGCAGAGGATAGCGTCTTGCTTGAAGTTCCTTGTGCCTTGCGCAGACGCCCGGCTCAGATTTAGTGAGTCTCCCTGATAGGTTTTCTTCCTAGGAGCTTTGGGGGACAGCGCTCAGGCAGGAGCAGACAGGGAGCAGAGAGTGGGCAGACAGCAAGAGGAACGGGTCAGGCTAAACTTGGAGTGCCTTGTATGGCTTGCCATGCTCGCCTTGCTGCAGGATGGGGGAGAACTTGGATGATGCTTCTTGGACAGAAGTGCTTTGGGCTCGCGGTAATGCCTTGACGGTACGTACGGTATCTTCAGGCTGAGACTCTGGTGCTGGGTGCGCACTTGGAAGGCCATGTGCTTTTGCGGTGTGGCTGCCTTTTGGACTAGCTGTCGCTTCGTTGAGGTGAAGCAGCCAACGCGGCCAACGGCGCGGAGGCAAACTGAATTCGATGTGATTGCTTCACAAATCCAAGCTGTTCAAGCTGCTTCGCGAGGATGATGGCTTATTGGACCTGCTCGAAGAGAAGCCAGCAGCAGTTGAGCAGTTGCCTTGACTTTCGCAGCGTCGGTCATCTGAAGCCGCTTGTGGATGAGGTCGACCGACACTGTGCCAGGTGTAATATCTGGTGAAAGCTTGCTGGCCCGGGCCTCACAGCAAAAGCTATCCATGGCGGGCAGCTTTTCCTGCGCAGGACATCGCTGCAACCAGCTCTGTGGGCGAAATTCCTGCAGCAACGAGTGCAGAGCCAGCTGTGCCCGAAGCTGCAGTTCACGCAGAGCCAGAACCTGCAGGCAGGGGAAGCAAAGTCGGTTCAGGCTTCAAGAGGACAGCCGCAGTACTTGCAGCGTATTTCTGGTGCAGGCATCAAGAGAGCTGCGACATTGACACTGGACATGATGGACATGGACGTTGACGCAGGCTTGTCTGGTCGCCTTCTGTCCTTGTTGTTGACGGCTCTCACTTTGCCTTTCAGTCAGGCAAGGCTCCAGCGGACGAGCATGCCGCGGTGCTGGGCTTGACCATGGAATGTTGGTTGAAAATAGCGAGCAGGTTCGCTGGATGTAGCCTCCGCAGGAAGCTTTGCCAGATGTGCATTGTTCGGCGATGCAAAAGGCATGATAACATAATGATAAGAACTAAACTGCAGAAGTGTCAGAACAGGCCTGCCTAGCATAGCATGGTGCAGGCTCGTGTAGGCATAATGTGGAGGTCTTCTCCGTGCAGTTTGCGTAGGTTGACTACGGAACAGGGTGCCGTCTCAATGCTGCATAGGCTTAACATGGATTCAAGGTACTGCGCGTAGGTGGTTGAACAGTATCAATGTGCCCACGTAGCCTGTGACCGCACAAAGATTCAATTTTGTGGGAAGGGGCAGTTGCAAAGATTTAATGAAAGGCCTGAAGCAAGACTTAGACAGTTAGACAACAGTAGTTTGATTGCTCCCGGTTGAGGTGCTATCTTCTGTCAATTTTGCCACGGCCGTGGACATCGTGCCAGGATCTCAAGTGCAATGTTGAGGTCCGCAGAGGATCGACTTTGAGCTTCTGCAGAGATTGCACGTGGCTCTGCTTTGAGGCTGGCAGCAGATTGCGTTTCTGTAGGCCCATCGCTTAGATCCCTCATGTCAACTGCAAATTCTAGTCCAAGTCTGTTTGCCTGTGCATCATCCAGGCAGGGACGAGTCAAATGGCGTCAAGTTGACTGACCCGTCTGGGCCTAGTCGTGTGCCAGCGCCAAACCAAGATTTGAGCGATTCGTAAGGCGAGTCTCGAATGAGCAGTTTCGGGTTCTTCGGAAGCCTGTCAGCGCGACCGGTCCACCTTGGAGCTTTGAGCTAGAGGCCGGCAGTCTTTTTGACGAGCTTTCCTTTGCTTAAGCACCCCTACGAGCTTGGCAGGATTGCTCGAGAAACGGCACCATGGTGAATAAGAAACTTCTGCGAGCAGAGCCTTAGCTAGCACATCAAAGTAGGGTGCACCGGGGTGAGATGCAGCTTTGCAGGTACTAGTTACTTACAGCATCTGAGCATGCCGTACATTTCTTGTTTCCGCATGGCAAAGAACAGTGCAGAGAATATCTCAATTTCAGCTTGTAACGTAACTTATTTGACTGTGGGAAGTGTCGTAAAGCGAGAAACTTGAAAACCACCCCAGTATGTGAGGAGGCTTGGTGGCGAAAGGTTTCGCAACGCGCATGCTAACATTTTTCCTGCAGTTATGCTCTGCTTCAAGAAAACCAATATCTCAGTTTCACTTGTCGTTGCTCAGTCTGATGAAGAGCGAAGAAGCCGTTCGTAAACATCGCCTTGACCACTGAAACATTTTTCAGTGCTGTTTAACTGAGAGAAACATGGTACAGTACCTAGTCGCTGTGCACCTTAGAACGCACCTTGAGTCCAAAGTTGTATCTGTGCAATGAAGATCTTTCTAGATGTGCCATCAAGGGAAAGGTCGTTCTGAAGGATCAGGACTCTGCCGCCTTGCCACAACAGTTCTTGCAGCTGGACGCGGCTTCTGTGGATCGCAGGATTTGGTCGAAGTGCTTCCGGCTTCTCTTGCCCGGTCCTCTGGCTGTGTACTTATAGTTTCGCAACCAGAGGCGCCGGCATGCGCTCGAGCAGTTTTCTTGCAGTGGATTTTGAGAAGATCAGGTCGGGCAATCAATGGCCATCGCGTTCCTGTTCCATTGTCCAGACAAGGAAGTGCTTGCACTCAGCAAATTACATGTTTGGCAAGGACGTGTGCTGCAATATTGTGTGCTGTCGTGGCTCTTTGGCTGTGAGAGAGCTGAGTGAAGGCACAAGAAGGTCCACCCAAGAAAAAGCTTCGAACGGAAGGCCGGGACTTCTTGTGACCAAGCTCCCTATGATTTGCTGAAGAGTGGAGGTGACTCAACAGGCGGCGATGCTTGCATCTGAGCTGCCCTCCAGTCCACCCGGTCTGGATCATGCCGTCCACCAAGGCCGACAACATCTTCCAGGGCGCTACTTGTGCAATTTGTCAGGAGGTTCCCGCATACCTGGGGCTGGTTATCGTCGCTACTAGATTGTGTGACAGGTGATGCACCGATCTACCAGTGTGCTGGCCTAATACCCGAACCTGTCTGTAGTGCTGGTTGAAGCTTGCCCTTGCTCAGCAGGTGCAGCCTTGTATGCACAGCGATCCCTGGCATGTTTTTGCAACACCTCTTCCTTGGTACGGCTATGTCCTGACAGGTTTCTGCAGCTCGTGTTTGGGCGGATGGCTGAAGCGGCCTGGTGACCGCATCCCCAGGCTGAACATGACTGGAGCTGAGATGCTTTTGCCATGGGTTTGGGTGCCAAGGAGGAAAAAACAGGTTCTTGGCAGCTTGGACAGCTTCTTTGCAATTCAGCTTTTCACAGCTTTTCACGCGGTAGCGCTGAGATGCCGGTCAGGGTTTGCGGGGATTACGGCAACAATATCATCTTGTGCAAAGCTTGGTTGCATAATGGATTGTTGGGTTCAGTGTGTAGATAGAAAGCAGTTCAGGCGTGATGTCTTCTGCAAGAATACGTGGCGGCTACAATTTGACGCAATTCTTGCGTGGGGTTTGACCGTGTAACGTGCCAAAAGCTCATGCCGTCATCCTACTTCCACTGCCTGGGCACAGGTGTCCAATTTGCCGACAAGGAGTCGCGGGTGTCGGCAAGAATCACGCGCTCGACAGCATGATAGAGGGGCTCCTGAAGGCGGCTCAACCTGTGACTCTTCTCACCCTGTGAAGGGGCATCTTGGTCCTGCTTCAGGTGCATCCTGATAGACAGCGCTCCATCGCAGCGATATCGGATTTGGATAGCCGCGATCCGCTGCATGACCCACGGCGATGACAGGAAATTCCCGCCTCAAACTTCTAGGTGTTCATCAGATGCATAGACTTGTGAGTCCCCACAGAAGCCAAGGATTGCGGGTACGACTTGGTGAAGCTTCGTGGGCCAGGCGACGTCGCTGCAGGCACCGCAAGTGCCCGCCAAACTGACGTATGTGACGTCTTTGCTTGCTGATCTGATGGAGCTGTGGTGTGTGCACCTTCCGGCAGGCTTTGCTCGGGTAGTGGTGGCAGCAGCTGCTGCTGCGGAAGGGATGGACGCGGACGACGGTTCAGATTCGGAGACATGTTCTCAGTCGGGTCAAGAAGATCTACAGGTGGATGTGATTTGAAGCCACCATGTGCGTGTGCCCTGACCGGAGGCACGACGGTGGCTCCTACTCAGACGATGAGAATGAGGAGGCAGTAGAGTCTGAAAGGGGTTGAGGACCTGATGGTGTAGTGCTGGATGCGAAGGAAGCCCGTCCTTGGCCGGCAGCTCAGCCTCAACGTGGGCTGGGAGCTTGTGACCTGACAGTCCGAAGGCATGCTTGGACTGCGCCAGGTGTATGGGGCCTAGCTTTGTTTTCAGCGGAGACTGCTTCGTTTCCTGTTGCTGTTGCTGACTAGCATGACTAGCTGTTGCGCATGTTTTTGTTGTTGTGGTGATTGCGGTTGCTGGGGTTGTCGTGCTTGTCGCAGTTGATGTGGCTGCGTGGTTATCACGGTGTCAGTTTCACTGTCATCATTGTGGCCGTTGTCGTCCATGTAGTTTTGGAGGCTGCCGTGGCTGTGGTGGTGGTGGTGGTGGTGGTGGTGGTGGTGCTGGGGGTGGGGGGTTGGGGTGCGGTGGTGGTGTCGTGACATCGCCGATGACGGTCGCCGTCGTCGTTGTCGCCGTCGCGGCCGCTGCCACTTTTGTCATTCTGTTGGATATTGTTGGTGGCGATTCGGTTTTTTTGGCTGCTCTGAATGATATCTGCCGCTCAAGGCCGTGCGACCTCCTTGCGTTAATTGTGGAACCCCTGCATGGCAGCCTCTGCGTTGCAAGCTTATCCATCTCACTTGCAAAGTATCGACATGTATGGACATCTTTTTGAGCACGCCCTGTGCTCTTGAGGTGCAGCAGTTGATCGTTGCGTGTCAGCACCAGTACCTGCCGCAGCTCTCATGAAGTCAGCGCTGGCAAGTGCCTTAATCAGCGGTACTGAATGTGCACAACTTCGTTCGCAGCTTGTCTCTCCCCAGTGACACAAGCCTGGCCTAGACTTTATCAGCAGCATTCGCAAAAACCAAAAGAAGAAGCTTCTCTCATGGAAAGTGTCTTCAGTAAAGCGGGCTTCATGGTCCCAAGGCGAGCAATAGCTTTGAGCAAGAGATCCTGCAGGTCGGGCACCGGGCGCAGCAGTGGCAGCATGTGACGCTTTCCGTGTGACTCCGGGTGTGATCGGCCCTTGCTGCTTGGCAGGAATGGCTCCACAGCAAAGGGCTGAGCCTTCAGCAGGCAGACCGTGTCTGCATCACAAACTCCAGCTTGCTCGTGCGTGCTTATGCATGCATCTGTATCTATCTGCATCTCTCCACTCTTCAAAGCTGAGTCCATCTTCTCATCTGTGCAACCCCCTCTTTGTTCATTTTCTTTGTCTCAGTTGTTTTGACAGTGGTCGTCTCTCTCTCTCTCTCTCTTCTCTTCCCTCTCTCATCTCTCCTCTCTCCTCTCTCCTCTCTCTCCTGTCTCCTCTCTCCTCTCTCTCTCTCTCTCGCTCTCTCTCGCAGTTTGTCATTGCACGCATTTGCCGTCTGCATGCCTGTACGTCTGTCTATCAGTCAGTCTGTATCCTATTGTCTCCCAGGCTACTTAGAGCCCCGTTCAGGTCTTCAATTTCCCTCCCTTGCCAACCAGCCCTACAAGCCTCTGCGGTGCACAGCAAGCTGTCCACAAGTCGCATGGACTGGCATGCAGGCCATACAAGATGTGCTTGCAACCCCCAACCCAGCGCGGCGCCGACAGAAGTTTATTGCTTAGGCCGGTTGAGGTATTGACTGCGAGCTAAGCTGTCCAAGGATGGCGTTCCAGCCGTGGAGGTCCGCAGTGCACCCGTCCCTGGAGGACTTGGGCCGAATAGCACGTAATCCCATGGGACATGCACATGAAGGGCTACTTGATAATCCCGACAAGGGCGCCCGTCAATATATGTCAATATGTTCCAGGTTCCCAGATACATGGAGCCAGACTGCAAACAGCAACTGCGACTCTTGCAGTTTTTATCGCTGCTCACGGCCACTACAAGTAGCTTCACATTGGTGGCCATCCCTTGTCGTGCTTGTCAACTCTGAGCAGACATGGTCCCTGGGGCGGGTCATCCTCTGATCCCGCTCAATGTCATGCTCAGAGCCAGAGAGCCCCCAACCTCTCCAAGACCTTTATTTTTTTCTTCATGTAGGAGGGCCTGGAGCGCTGATTGACCTACCAGTGGGTGCCTGGCGCCGAGTTGGCCATGATGGTGTTGGCCTTCTACTGTAGTAGACTCTACACTCTACATAGTAAAGAAATGAGCTTGGCCTGATGGTTTCAAGCTGCTCCTGCATTCTGCTTTCAGTGAGCCATTTGACACTCGATATCGGTTTTTCCTTCCAACGCCAGCACTTGACTCGAGGTGTCCAGGTTACATGCACGAATTTTGCAACTGTCCAGATTGAATTATACTTCTTGCAGTTCTCGCAAGGCGTGGACCGAGCTGGCAGTGTGCCAACCATGCAGGCTGGCAGTCTTTCTAATTCAGCTGCGCTCTGTATGGGGAAGTGGCATAGGGATGAAGAGGGCCTCCGGTCTGCTGGATCCCGATATAGCACTGCCACATTCCTGCGTTGCTCCCGTCTGCAATTTCTGCAGTCAGCTGGTGATGCGCGGTGTGGCCGCTTGCCCGGACATTTACGCTGGACGGGTCCGGACCTCACCGCTCAACCAAGTATTGAGCTCATCAAGGTATACTCGATCAGGGAGCGGATCCAGAATGAGGCATTGGGTTTGCCATGCAGTGCGTAGTGGGTATGGTTGCAGCTTGTCTTGCAGGAGCTACCCAACAGAGCGCGGGGCCGTCGCACTCAGCTTTGCCTGCCAACAATACGGTCTCAAAATCCACGGTCGCAAGTCTGGCTTCGTGGAACCAAGACCGCCGCAATTGCTGGTATGGGCGCTCTTGCCGGACACAGGGCCACAAGTCTGCCTTGCGAGCTTGCGCAGACCCTGACTGAGAGTGTCATTGGGCTTGCCTCTGCCAGGCGGGGGCATGCCGAGCGTCAGCTCCCCAGCATGGCTCTGACGAGGCAACAGATCCGATGACTGCAAGTCTCAGCTGTTCTGAGGTTTGAATCACATCTGTGCACAGACCCGTTTTCATTGATCCGATTCTTGTAGAGATCGGAGATACATTGCAACATGCTGCAACCACGAACGTTGAATTGTGGGCACGCTGGCCTCCTCTTCGCGAGCTCCCAGAGTTCGGCTGAGATGCAGCCGTGTACAGTGTACGAAGTACAATCTGCTGCGAGAGCCTGCTGTGGAAGTTGCAAGTCAAAACCATTCATTGAGCCGGCCTGCGGGTGGGCCTGCTTGTCCCAACTCGAACTTCAGGAATTTTTGTTGGAATCATCCTGATGCAGCTCATCAGCCTCGAGCAAGCACATCAAACGACCTCAGGATATGCTAGCCGCTAGCCCACCTTGAATCCAATACTACGCTCAGCAGCACACAGCATGAGAAAGTTGAAATTCCACGAGCAGAAGTTGCTGAAGAAGGCAAGGTTCTTCAACGTCCCAGCTCTGAGGCAGCTGTGTAGCATTGGTGCTCCTCAGGTCAACTTTTACGACTGGAAATCGACCAAGAACGCAGCTTGCTTACAGGGTTTTTTGGCAGGGCAACCGCTTTTAGCCTCCTGTATTCAGATGCTCTGAGGTGCGTGAGTCAGCCTTGCTCCAGAAATACCAAATCGAGAATCGCGAAGATTTCACAAAGAACTTCGGCACAAGTAGAAGATTACAGCATCTCGCAACCAAAGTGTTTGCAGAGCTCAAGGTATCACAAGCTGGCGGGTCTCGTGACGAAAGTAGTGGCGAAGCTACGAAAGCTGAAGGTTTCGTTACCCTTGAGATTCCTGTTGATGGGGTCTGATCTGTCTGGACTCGAAGAATCAGGTCGAGTATGGGGGGCTGACAGACTGCTGAGAGGCTTCAGATGAGGACCGCATCAAGATGACTGAGATCCTCCTGGACAAGCTTTACTCCTTGGCCCTGACACAGAACAAGCAGAGTTTGGAGGAAAGCTGTCAGTGTGCCATTCGTTGAGCAACAGTCTTGAAATTATATAAGTTATAAGCCATTTTGCACCTCTTGATTGCACAGGGGGTTCTGTGGACTTGCCCGCCTCCTGCTTGACGCCCGAGGACTGTGTGGATTTGCACACCTCCCGATTCTGCAGACGGCGCCTTCCGGTCGTCCTCGTACGCATGAAGCCAGTGGCTTAGAACCAAATGCGCTTAAACGTTATGCTCATCTTTCTGGCCGATGGGATTCTGGAACCTTCTCGGGCATGTCATTGCAGCGTAAGTGGGGCAGTGCGGTCACCAGTTACAAGTTGCCGAGGCTGTGTGAGAATCTGCCCCAAGCTATCGCGTACATCAAGCAGGCAATGTCGTATCAAGGTCCTTCGGACGGTTTTTCTAGCTAACCAGATGTTGCCGAAGGGCGAGGTTCGGATTGGGCCAGACTTGGTTACCAACCCGGCACTTCACGTGACGCGTGAAATGGAGGACTTTTTTTTGATATCGCAGAATCATGCCATCACAGCATTCGCAACGAGGATCACATCACGTGGGCAGAGGGATCTAAGATGAGACGCCACATCAAAGAGTTCAGCAATGAGGCAATCTACTGCAGAGGCTTCCTCTGCACATCTTGGGCAGCTCAGCGCAGGTCGACGACTTCGACCTGTTGGGCAATTAGAGGCGTTGTACCTCATGGCCTTCTCGAAAAGCTTTTCTACTGCAAAGCTGTTGCTTGGTGTGCTGCTGCTTGTAGAGGTCCTAGTCCTAGCCTTGATGCAGCACATCATCGGGTTTCTGCTAGGCCAGTCCAGGTGCAAGGCTTCGGTTCAGGGCGGCGGTAGCTAAGCGGTCCTCTGCAAGAATGTCCTGGACACGTGTGCGAGTGCAGCCACTTAGGCTTGCGAACTAAGCAGCAGCTACAGACACAAGCAAAGATAGCTGCATTCAGCTTCTCGTCCCGGCAGCAAGCAGATCTGTAAAGCCTTGGCATGGTTTACTGTCAAGAACGCCCACAGCCTCCTACAATGCCTGAAAGCTGACGCCGTGCAGTCGTTCAATTTGGAATGCCTCAGCCATGGCTCTACTTGAAAAAGCTACTGATTTCAAGCGGAGTGCAACCAGGCAGGCAAAGAAAGCTCAGAAAAAATCCCAAAAGCATCAGAGTTTTGCCATGTATTGCAGGACGATGTCTGAAAAATGGCAGACGTTCTCCATGCCCGGAGCTTTCAGGCGGCAAAACGTGCGTGTGTTCATGGCTTGTGCTTCACGGCTGGGCTGTGCCTCTGTGATCTGAAGGAGAGCGAAGGAGGCAATGTCGGGCCCAGCCAAGATGCCTCATGATCCTCTGGAGGCAGAAGCATTCTTCGATCCGAGCTTGCCGCATTTTTCTAAAGATCCTGCATGCTGTACATGAGAAAGTGTCCGCGTCAGCTGTCCACTGATATGTAGGACCAGCGCGCGGAGCTGGTTGAGCTCGATGCCCTCATCTCCATTCTGAGCACATGCGCCTTGCGCCCAGAGGATTTCGTGAGCAAGGCTTGTGGAATCGCGGAACTTTGAGCTTGCTTGAAACTGAGGCCAGCACTCTGTCTACCTCTGTTGATATGCCCGCTCCTGACTTCGTGGAAGGAGCAGGGGCTTCTCAGCTGAGCCTCGATTTCAACTTGAGCCCAGGCTTGCTGCAGCACCCAAGCCCTTGTTTGATCCGCTCAGCCGGTTCTACAGTCAGCGCCACGGCCTTGACTGGGCGGTTGTGGTACTGCAGGGCTTCTCGTTGAGGTCAAGGAATGCCTGGGAGCACGGCCATCCAAAAACTTTGTCTTCAAATGGACTCCTTTGCTGTCCATGTCAAGGACAGCATCCACAGGGATGCTTCTTTTTTTCTTGGACCCATTCTGCAGCCAGCTTCGAAGACTGAAGGAGCACGAGACAGAGATTGAGGCATTGCAAACCAAGCTTCGAGGTTTGCCAATCCCCTGGCTTCTTTCTCCTGGTGCGTGGGAGCCTGCTTGAGAAACAAAACGTTCAGGTCCGAGCGGAACAGAACCGTCCATCAGCCCAGCGCTTACTCGAATCCCTTTCTTGAAGAATCCTGCCCGTTTACTGACCTCTGGGTCAATAGGTCCTTTTCCTACCGGGACGCTGCGTGGACCAGTCAGGACACCCAAGCGGCAGCAGAGATGTAGGACTTTCTCTGTGCGTGTGTGTCCTTTCAGGACCACTACACCAAAAAGCTCGAGAAGCTACGGGACCAGATTGCCAAGAGCGGAACGTCGCCACCCCGGCCTGTTGGCCAATTTGTTTTTATTGTGCGGCTTGTCACTGAAGCACTCATCATCTCTGCCTGCATTAAGCTTCTCTGATTCGTATACAGGGCAGAGTTTGCATGGTCGACGTGTGAAACGCAAGCTGAGACGTTTTGACAGGTCTGCTCTTGTGGAGAAATTAAACAGAAACGAGGATAAGAAGCGGAGCAGCCAACAGGCCTACAGCATGTGAGGTTTTGTTTAAACATGTCAGACACCGAAGCATGCAACCTTGAGGAGTTTGCCACCCGGACCAGTGAAACAGGCAGCTCGGTGGTCGATTACAAGTTTTAGTTTGCCTTCCCAGCTTGTCCAGCAACTGTGTCCAAGGTCGGCAGGTGAATGAGGCTTTGTCAAACAGGTGGCAGGAAATTGGAGAGGTGGCAGCGCATAAGCACTGCAAGCTGGGCTCTGGATGTTGGTGGATCTGGTTTTGAGTCTCAGTTTCTGGACTTTGAAACAGGTGGTTGCTGAGCTGTCCCGGTACTACACAGTCGTCTTCCAGGCCACATTGTGATGCCGCCGTCACTTCCGCTTCGAATTAATCATTTTGAGAGACTCGCATGGTATGATCCAGGCCGCCGGGACACTGAGCCACGAACTCCAGCAGGCTGGGTTGTAAGGGCTTGAGATGCCTGGAGGCTGAAGTTGTGGAATTGGTGTAATTGCTAAGTGCAGGTTTCTACAGAGCTGACAAAGCCCTCCACAACGCAAGCGCTCGCCAAAATGGGTCGGGACCGCCCTGCATTGCAAACTCTTTGTCTAGTGTTTAGGTGGTTTAGGGTTCCGGGCGTTGGGCTTAGGTTTTGGCCTTTTTTTTCAAGACATGCAGACATGCTCGCAGGAGATTGCCTCGCAGGCACAGGAGACAGCAAACACCTTCGTGGACTCACTTAGAGCCAGGCCCACGATGAGCATGGCAAAGCAACAGCTGTTGATGGTTGCAGGAGTAGAGACACTTGAGAGCACCTGAGGTTTGAGAGTCTATTTGTTCTGACCAATACGTTGTGAATGTTGTGGCCCCATGTCAGGTGTAGCAAGTGGAACGAGAGCCAGAAGCTGAGTTGTCAGTCCTTCAGAGATATTCTTTCTCATTATCCCCCTATAATCCCTATCCAGAACAGTCCCATATTCCCTACTAAGCCCCAGTAATTCACCTGTACCCTACTATTTTTACTGCTATTCTTAGTACGGTTATTGCCATTCTTATTAGTATTATTCCTACCTTTTATCATGACTACTATTCTTGTTATTATTACTATTCTTATTGCTACTACTGTTGATGGATGAAATCTTGCACCACCTAGGGGGCCCTAAACTCCTGTATTTCCTAGGACTTTAAGGACTTTAAGTGGTGCAAGATGTCCTCCACCAACAGTATTACTATTGCTATTATCAGTATTGCTATTATTACCGGCTGCTGTGCAGGTGAAGGAGGGGCCGCTCCGCTGGCTCTGACAAGCCAGTACAGATCATCAAGGTGAGCTTCTTTTTTCACAGTTACTTACTGGTTCCTAGCAGGGAGTATGGGAGTTTTGGGGTTTAGGGTTTAGGGTTTGAATATACAGGGATTACACTATAGGGTTTCTATTCCCCTATAGTTTGGGGGGTCCAATAATTCAGAATCAGATGGAAAACAGGAAAAGGGAACATTACAGGGAAACTGGGATTATGTAGGGTTCTTTAGTGATTAGGGTTTCCCCAAAATTGGGGGTACCCTTTTGGTGGCCTCCAGAACAAGGAATATAGCATTTTGGGGTGTATATTGGGGTCCCCTCATTTAGGGAAACTACAGAACTGCTTGGCCTAAGCTGTGTATGCCTGTCATGCTCACAAACCAGCAAAATCTTCAAGTAAACCCCTACGTATGTCTAGATAGTCCTTGATTCTGTCCCAACCCCGATCTTGAAAAAGGTACTCAAGTTCAACTAGGATTCCGCGGTTTTATGAGCGGAGCTCGATTCCATATGATGTCTGACTCAATTCAGATTCCACCTTGCTTAACTTCGTTATAGGGACTAATCCAGACTTTCTTCTCCCTAACAGTAACCCCGCCTTAAATAACCCCTCTCTCCCAGAGAACCAAGCATCCTGGACTTTTTCAAATGGCCAAAGCTTCTTCAAAAAGGTGCGGGAGTGGGTTCTTAGGTCATAACATTATGACCTCGGTGAAAATGAGGCATCACAGAAAAATCAGTGGTCTGCTTGATTTCCCATGCTTCCCATGGATTCCATCTGTCTTCCAAGAAAGACTTCAGGTAATACTCGTAGAACCGAATGGAAAGCTAACGCGAACCAGGGATCTCCTTCATTTGCTAGATATTCATTGTTTTTATGGTTGTATTTGGGGTTATTTAATGGCTGCCGCCAG